ACATACATACATACATACATACATTACATACATACATACATTACATACATACATACATACATACATACATACATACCATACATGACATACATACATACATACATACATACATACATACATACATACATACATACATACATACATACATACATACATACATACATACATACATACATACAATCACATACATACATACATACATACATACATACATTACATACATACATACATACATACATACATACATACATACTACATACATACATACATACATAATACCATACATACATACATACATACATACATACATACATACATACATACATACATACTATACATACATACATACATACATACATACATACATACATACATACATACATACATATCATACATACATACATATCATACATACATACATACATACATACATACATTACATACATACATACATACATTACATACTACATTACATACATTACATACATACATAACATACATACATACATACATACATAACATACATACATAACATACATACATTACATACATACATACATGACATACATACATACATACATACATACATACATACATTACATACATCACATACATACATACATACCATACATACAGACATACATACATACATACATACATACATACATACATACATTACTACATACATACATACATACATACATACATACATACATACATCATACATTACATACATACATACATACATACACACATACATACATACATCACATTACAACAACATACATACATACATACATACATACATACATAGCATACATACATACATACATACAACATACATACATACATACATACATACATACATACATACTACATACATAATACATACATACATTACATACATACATACATAATCATAACACACACACACACACACACACACACACACACACACACACACACACACAACAAACACATACATACATACATACATACATACATACATACATACATACATACATACATACATACATACATACATACATACATACATACATACATACATACATTACATACATACATACATACATACATACATCATACATACATACATACATACATTACATACAACATACATACATACATACATACATACATACATACATACATACATACATACATACATACATACATACATACATACATACATACATACATACATACATACATACATACATACATATACATCTACATACATACATACAACATACATACATACATACATTACATACATACATACATACATACCATACATACATACATTACATACATACATACATACATACATTTACCATTAAAAGCATTTTTTTTGTAACCATACATACATACCTTACATACATACCTTACATACATACCTACATACATACATACATACATACATACATACATACATACATACATACATACATACATTAATTACATAGCATACATACATACATACATACATACATACATACATACATACATACATACGATACATACATTACATACATACATACATACATACATACATACATACGATACTACATACTATACATACACACACACATACATATCATACATACATACCATACATACATACATTACATACATACATACATTACATACATACATACATACATACATACATACATACATACATACACTACATACATAGCATTACATACATTACATACATACATACATACTACATACATCACACACAACACACACACAACACACACACACACACACACCCACACACACAAACACATACATACATACATACATACATACATCATCATACATACATACAACATACATAGCATTACATTCATACATACATACATACATACATACATACATACATACATACATACATACATACATACATACATACATACATACATACATACATACATACATACATACATACATGCCAATAAAATATGATTATAATTTTTTTAAATAGAAACTGTAATCAATACAATACGTAATGAAGCGGCGAGAATTTGTCACAGCATGCTTTCTATGACGCCTTGTTTTCACGAGGAGATCGGTAACGAACGCGTAATTAACCGCGTGAGCAGCACCTTGTTAATGAGCATTCCCTCCTCTTCTCTGCAGCCGCGAAGTAGACTTTGCTTCATGATCATTAGCATCACAGCAGTGGAGAGCACGCTCTCTGTGCTTTTATACGCAGTTGGTTCGTTTGTAAGACACAAGTGTACTAACTATATATACGCACCCTAGATATTTGGACCTGCGGTGTGGAAAGCAACAGGAATCTAGCCCACTATATTCCCTGGAAAAATTACTCGGTCTGTAGTTTAGCCCTGTCAATTGGCAGTGCACTAAAACACGAAGTATGGGATAAGGTGTCTTTACCGGCTACAAGACCTTTGTATTCGTCTAGGTAAGTCACGCGTAGAGATATGTGCGACAGTGGCTATATCTTGCGACCATGCCTATAAAACAAAGTTACGACAACCGTGCCTGGAATTGGTCGCGGCAGTGCTAGGATTGGGCTCGGGCTTTAGTTTTGCCGGCTGCTAGACCTATGGCCTATTATACAATTCGTGGAAGACCTGCATGCACTAACTTAAAGTCTGATTACATGCCCGATTAGCCTTAATTCACAGCCAGACAGTTTGGCCTCACTATAAACCCACGAAAGTTATGACATCTTACTAAGTGGTCACATGGCGTAGAACAAATCCATGTCTAGCCGGGGCATACGCTGATTCCGCTAGCCTTATTTATGGCAAGCTGGCTCGCTCTAGACGCTCTGGACATTAGCTGTAGCTTTACAAAGCTAACAAGATCTTGGGATCATCTCTCCGTTTGATTACAGGCGAAATTTAGATGGTCATGCGATGTTTTTATTGTATGATTCCGTTCTCACGTGTTATACTTTTAATATTCTATTAGAAAATAGTTATATAATATTAAAATGAGAATCTCGTAACTAACGGGGTATTAATCGGGAGTGCCACGTAACACTGAATGAAAATTATAGATGTATGTTGTGCCGGTTATTGATATTATTATAAACTGCCCAAATAAACGAATGCGCAACCACAGAAACGTCATCATGCGAACTTAAAGCCCGGCGCACATGTGAGTAATTTTACTCAAGTAAAATGATGCATGCGTCAAAATACTCACGTGTGCGCCGGGCTTTACTTTATAATTATTTAACTATTATTATCATTCATTATTCTATTTTTATTATTCATTTGCGAGTGACTATGCGCCACAGTTCATTTCCCAATTATACGTCCGGCTCATTTTAATTACACACATTTTAAGTTGAAGGCCTCTTTAATTCGGCGTAAAATAGGATAATGATTGCGCAAGACCATCTAAAATGTCAGAACTACATCGGCTGCCGTCTGCAGAAGTATTGCTGACACATTCCGACCACTTCCGACCAAAATCAAAAGAATATTTCTTCAATCACGGAACGAGTTGTTGGATATTACCGTGCCAACGAGAATACTTCCTGGGTCTTTCCGTTTTGCCCTACAACCTTGAGACCGTTGTATGACCGGCAAAATTTGCATTCGTGGAATTTCGAATTTTCCTATATCTACGCCGCCTTGCTCGCTTATGCTAAACCGTCAGAAGCGGCTGCGAAATTCAATGAGAATCGGGACGAGCGTTGATTTCTGATGGCTAATAATCGCAGTAAATAAATGCAAATCGAATTCAGCTAACTAACTACTAACAGCGATATATTCGCCTCCCGAGTTTTTCCGCATCGGCTAAAGAACGGTTAAAATAAGGGCGCGCCTAGGCGCAATTAATTTTACGGCGTTAATATCGCACTGAACTGCCGACCAGCGCACGGCGACGAGCGGCCATGCACACATTGATCAGTGGAACTCGCCAGGTGGCCGCCTCTAGATTGCCCGCGGTGTTGATGCTTGCGTCGGCGTTTCTGCACGACCATCCAACCGTACGTTGCGCGCGCGGGGCCTGGATCTACTTAATGCAATCCAGCATGGCCGCCTCTCTCAGAAGCATCGGCAAACGCCATGAGGAGTATTGTGCCGTGTTTGTTATAATATGACATTCCTCAGCTTTTAGCGGCGAGCGACAGACTGGCTATTGCGGGCGCGTGCGCATGCGCACAACGCGCTTCGCCGCATTTTGCTGAATTTTTACGCCCATATTTTTTGGTTCGCTTTTAAACTCCGCGACGTTTTGATATCAATTTTCGCACATGGCGGTATTTAATTCTGCTGGACATGCGCATGTTAAATAGCTTGGGCAGTACCGATTATGTCGGCATCACATGGCGGTGCACGTGTGCCGGCCCTTATAATCGTCAGTCGTGCGACAAAAACGAACACGCATAGACCTAGCTCATTCATTTAGCGGTAAACATGGCTACAGTCGATCGCCTACGAGCATGCAGCTACGGAGTTAGCTAAACATATGACAGTTGTACGACATCATGGATTCCGTCGTGTGAGTTCTATAAAGTATCAACCGATTTAGTTATTTAATGTGACACGCTAGTATCAATACGAATCCCACGACGTAAGCGCAAGTTATATACTATATATATATATATATATATTATATATCTCTTACATAAAGGGCGAGTCTGTTTTTCTGTCTGTCTGGGGCTCTATCTTCTCCCCCACCGTACCCCCAACACCATATATATTCTGAATCAGCATGTCGCGACGACCATTTTAGGCCGAAAAAAATCAAAACAATACAAAAAATACAAAAATGTCAAATTACAATTAAAATTATTTATTATTTTAATAAATGTCCGCGCGGTGGCGCTTATATACCCTCACTAATTCAGTGCTCATGGATTGAGTGCGCATTTTCGCCGTGTTGTTCGCATTTTTACCGGTATTTTTGTAGCTCTATTGTCGAATTACAGTGACAATAAACGAATTATTAGCTTTGAAGGAGACATGAACTAGACGACTACCATGCTAGAAAGGTATAAATGCTGAACTTGCTGCTTATTTTTCCGCATGCACTGAGTGTTTCGTATTCATCTCCTACATAAATCGACTGTGTGTCTGTCTTCTCGAGACCCGTAAGAGGTGACCCGTGAGGTATATTCTCAATCAGCATGACGCGACGACCATTTTAGGCCAAAAACAATTTGCACAAAAAGGCCAAAATAAGGGCAAAAAAACAAACAACAGATTTCCTCCCAAAAAATACTAGCGCAGCAGAAAAGTTAACAGCAATCCTAGCGCTCGACTATACACTGCAGCAGAAAAGTCGAGACGAATCCTAGCGCAGCACAAAAGTAAACAGCAATCTTATAGCGCTCAACTATAGTCAGGCTCAAAATCAGGCAATCGCATGAAATGCCGAAACGCAAGCAATAGCAGAAAACGCATGAAATAGCACAAAAGCAATAACCCCCAAAAAATCCCAGGCATCGTCGGGTAGCCCAGCTAGTATATATATATATAAGAGTACATAATGGGAGAAGCGTATGAAACTGTTTTAACAGCGTTTTGCATAGTTTTTAACTTGAATTTATTCTATCAATATGTGAATAAATATATTCAAACTT